GTGGAATGGCAGCTGGGGAGCCTCCTCCTGAGCACTGGGATTGGCTCACCTCCTCTGTCCTGGGAGCAATGGAATTGTGGCTGGGGAGCCTCCTCCTGGGTGCTGGGATTGGCTTGCCTTCTCTGCCCTGTGAGTGGTGGACTGTCACTTCTTAGTTTGATGGTGAGCTATCTCCAGGTGAGCAAATGTTACCTCACCATGTGGGTGGATTTGGAGCCTTGGGGGTGAGAGGAATTTAGGCATCCATAGGGAGTGGGCAGTGGGGTATACATATAGGAGATTCATAGTTAAGAATGAACAGTGTCTCACATGCAAGGAGCTACACTTCTTGTGGACTTGAGTGGAGGACTGAAGATAGAGGAAAGGGATGCTAAGTTACGTGCCATATCAGGAACAATATACTAACTTGCAACCATATTTCCAAGATTTTGGCAAAACAATAGTGGGAAAGTGTATAAAGACCACTCCCCTTGAACCCAATCCCTACATGTAGCTTTTCTTCAATCTAATTGAAGACAGATGTATATAGGTATACGGTCAAGGAAAGGGTAGCATTGTCCACCTGCTTTCTGAACTGAGATTAACCATTCTAACCTGGACTTCTGGCAATATGCTCCTGTATCCTTCACTTCCATTCATCAAAACTGTTTGGTTAACTTCTATTTCCTGACATGTTCCCCACACAGTAAATACTTTGGACTTTGTGGTCTCTTATTGTTGTTGGTTCTGTTGTAGCACAGAGACAGCAAGAAATGAATGGATGTGACTATGTTCCAACAAAACTTTATTGACACTGAAATTTGAATTTCACACAACTTTCACGTGTCATGAGATATTTTGTAGTTTTTTTTTTGGTACTGGGGATCGAACTCGGTCCTTGCACTTGCACAGCAGGTGGTGAAACAACTGAGCTAAATCCTTGACCCTCTTTTGTGTTTTTCCAATCATTTGAAAATGTAAAAATCATTTTTAGCTTGGACTTACAGCCAGCAGTAGTTTGCCAAATTGTGGTAAAAAATTGGAACAGTGTTCACCCAGATCTGGGAATTCAGGGGGAGAAGTGCTGGCCAAAATAACAAAATTTGTAGCCTGCTTTTTTAGACCTGGGAGAGAGTAGAACAATTTCCAGGCTTTCATTTGACCTCTCACTCTGGTGTATAATCTCCATTGGCTTGTCAAAATTGTGTTAAGGTAGGTCTGAGAGTCTTTGGCTTCTTTCCCTCTCTAGCTTTTCATAGTCTTGTTTCTGAGGCAGGAGGAAAATGGCCATTATAGTCCTTGCTCAGGCAGGTTTGAGCTATTTCTTTTCTTGTTTGTAGTTTTTGGATGTTCCTTTCTTCACTATAGAATCATTTAAAAGTCAAGTTTCATCCACGACCAATGTTCTGTGTACCAGAAGTGAAGGTACTTGGATCAGTCCTTTTCCATTCTGGGATCCAACACATTGAGAGGACGTGAACATGAAAAAAATATTTTGTATGTGTGCATAAGTGCTTTATAACTATAAAGCACCCTACAAATGTTAAAAAAAAAGTATGGCTGATGTCTTTCTATATTCTAGAAAGTGGGAAGCTATTTTTTTAATGGGACACTTTATGGGATAATTTGAAGGATCCCCAAAGTACCTACCTACCCAGTACCTTGCACAGAGCATGTTTATTAAAGTGAATGAATTTATTCTTTCAATTAATACTTATTTTTTTTTTTACCGTGTATTTCTTTGTGCACTTCTGGTTCTCAAGTGAATCTTCTCCACAACTTTTAGGTTCCAGAAAGGGCAAGAATGTTTCCTCCTAGCATCCTTGATCATGTTCATATTAGTGGTACTAGAGTACCTTTAGTAGCTGGGGCTTCCTAGGACCCTATTGTAATGTATAATGCTCCAGGTATAGCTTTCAATCAATGTCCAGTGGAGGTGTTATCATTACTTTTCAACTTCTGGACACAGAATCTGCCTCTATTCTTTAGGCCCCAAACAGGCAACTTCCTTGTAAAATCAATAGGATTAACAATTATCAAAGATGATAACTTCTAGCTTCCTTATCAAAGTTATGATGAAGTAAAAAAGAGGTTGAGGGGTTGAAAAAAATTCAACTTTTAACCATATCAGTTAAAGTACTTGAGCGATAGTTCCAGGTGATCATTGACTATACAGTTATGAAATTTGGGAGACATCTGGATGGGAGACCAAAAACTGATGGGGGAGGTGCATCCTGAGCATGGGTACCCTTAAAGATTTGAAGAAACTATATGGGAGCGAAGATAAAAACAGGTAAAAGACTTTTTCAATGCTCTAATCTAAAAAATACCTAATTTTATAAAACTTCAGGTACATATTGTCTGTACTCAATATTTCCATTTACCACTATTTTACAGTAAGAACACAATTATAAGTTGGGACTATGGGTTCTAATTCTTATTCTGTTACTCTGGCATAAGATCTCATGCAAAACAGTACCACATCATAGCTTTCACTTTCCCCATCAATACAGGGAAGACCAAATATAGAGTCTTATACATAAATTTGTAGGGATCACCATGGTTTACATGCTTACCATTTTTAATGGTTACAGTGTCAAAGGGACTAATAAAGTATAGAGCCATTGGGAACACAACAGGACAAAGAATATATTTACAGGCACATGCACGTGAACTGACACAAGAAGATAAAGAATGAAATATAAGTGCCTTAAAGTTTTAAAGACTGAATAATAGTAAAAACAAAAAAACCCCAAAACTAGTACTTTAGATTTGTATGAAACCAATCATCAGAATTAGCATGTACTAGAAACCTGCTTTAAGAAATGTGATGGGAGGGGTTTGGGTATGGAGCTCATAGAGTACTTGTGCCCAAGGCCCTGGGTTCAACTCCCTGAACTGAAGAAAAAAGAGATGAGACAGGTGATTAGCTTATAAATAATCAAGATATATAATAGTTAGAACCCAATATAGTAGGTATCATACATCTATTTCCTGTCTTTATTGCAATTTACTTAAATCACTTGGCAGATCAACTGACAAACTGCATTCCCTCTATAAATGTTCCTGACGATCTTGGCATAAGGCCATTTGTGGTTAAATTTGCTCCTTTCTAAACAATTCTGTTCTCTTCAATTTAGTTTGTATGCTCAGGACTGAGTTATTTGCTCCCCAAAGTTTATTCATTATCCAATATCTCTCATTACATAATTAAGACATTAAGTAACCAACAAGCTAAGCGCAGAGAGAATTTCTTCATTATGGAAACCAAGTTGAACATTTGGAAAGACTTGATAATGACATTCCAGTTGCAATGAATGTGCACTGTGCCAAGATCATGGATTCTAAGTTGCTGCCTATTAAAAGGAGCCACGAGTTTCTGCAGAAATATTTCATTCTATGTCTGGAGCACTGAAGTGCAGGGTGAACTTGAGATATCTGTGTCAGAAGGCAATTAAATGCCCAGAAACTAAAGGGGGAATGTCAAAAGGACATAAGAGCTACTTGGAGGGTTCTGACTAGCCAAATTTGGGACAAACATCAGAAACAAATGTAATTTACTAAAACATTGAGTCATTTGTCATCAGTGCAGATGATACCAAACAATTGGTAATTAAACCCCTAAAGTGGTAACTACAGCAAGAATTGAGCAAAACCCTGCTTCTATGTATTCCCAGTTAACAAGAGAATGTTCTTCCTTAAAGATTACTACTCAAAAGATACGAAAAGAATAATAGAATTAGAAAATCACCATTTTGCTAACTTTGATGGAAAAAATTATCTAAAGCAAGGATTACTGTTGGGTACTAACATAACCAACCAGGTAAAAAAGTTGTTAAAAAGGCTATCGATATGCTTCCCCATTGTCAGTCGACATTGCTAATTGCAACAGGACCAACTACTCTAATGTTGGGAAGAATTGGTGGTTACCACTTAAACTCAATAATCAAATATCACATCACTGACAAGTGAGTCAACCTGATACTGAGACAATGATACAAAATAAAATAGATCTGTTAAGTCTTAGTATTAAAAAGTGTTTAGCCTGAATCTAATCAAACCTTTGATCTTAACTTTTAATTTCCAGAAATTTCAGGAAATATAAATACAGCACATGTATATGTTAATAGTCAGTTAAATCCCAAATGTGAAACTCTACAAGACAAGTGACTTGCTTTCTTAAAAAGAAAACAAAAGGTGGGGACTGTCAGGCATGTCCAACCTGCAGCCCATAGGCTGCTTGCCCTCTTTTAAAAAGTGTTATAATCACAAATATAAAAAAGGAAGCTTTGTTACTTATACACATTAACTGTATTATACATTTTCTATGCAGTCCAAGGCAATTCTGTGTTACCCAGTGTAGCCCACCTGGAAGATGAAACAGATGGGTGAAAACTGACTGTATCAGCAGGAGAAAACCAAATATGGACTAGGGATTTAGATAGTGTATTAGGAAAGGACTGTTCATTTTCTTTCAACTCTTTGCGGTTATGTGAAAGACTGTCCTTATTTTTATGAGGTGTATTTAGAGGTGAAATGTCATGTCTATAAGCTACTTTCCAATTGCTAAAAAAATGGCAAAATGTTAATTTTAAAATCCAGTGGTGGGTATAGTTCATTTTATTTTAAAACTTCTATGCATATTTGACAACTTTCCTAATAAAAAGCTGTGGAAAATACGACTATTTGCTAAAAGACTGTTGAATTACTCATGGTTCAGACAATTCTACAAGTGGGGAGAAAAACACACACAAAGGCCTAGTATTTTGCACTATTATTCTATTATTGTATAAGGGCATAAGTTACCTCTGTGTATCAGTGGAAGACTTTATAAATGCACTATTTACATAAAACACACAAAGGCAGGAAACATTGAGTAATGCAAAGAAAGATGCTACAAACTGTAACACTCCAAACATTCATTCCAAAGGAGAGTATTGTGTGATGAAGCAACACCAGAAAAATCATCTTAAATACAACTGTTATTTTTTAACATGACAACTATAGGAAATATAATTTAAATATTTTGCAACCTGTACTTTGTGAAGGATGATACAATGAAATCAACATTAACTAATGTCAGGAAAAGGGAAAGCAACACTTTCTTCAAGAAAACACTCAACAATATAGCTTTGAAGATGCTGGCACCCTAGCCTATCAGCACCTGTTTGCAGGATGTTTATATAAACAGTAATGTCTAAGTTAAGCTGTATGGTCAATACATGCTCCAATAGATATTTATGCAAAATTTGTCAGTCCTATTTATCTCAGAAAAATTTCCTTGTGCAAAGATGTCCCATGATTTCCGATGTTCCATTTTTAAGTAGTTCTTATTACCTGGTAAATAATCAACAGTTGTTAAACATTTGTTTGAAATATGCACAAAAGTTATTTTTGTTTTTACCAATTTTTACTCCATGCCAGTCGGTTCTACATTTACTCAACTCTAATTTGTATAATTCATTAATTCAACCAACATGTATTGATCATGTTCTATATGGAAGGAACTGGAGAAACAAATATTAGCAAAATGGAATCTCAGTCTTATATTGAGAGTGGAAAACTATGGATATTAAATACAATAGTATTTAAAAAAAACCCTATTGTTGCCAGTTTTCCATTTATGTTAAGACCTAAAAACTTGGTTCTTTAATGATTACGGTATCAATAATTTCTGTACAATGCTTTTTCTAATGGAAAAATTTTTTTTCTGACACAGTAAGAGTAACCTCTATTTTACTTCCATGTATGGTTTCTAATTATTCCTTTAAAATCAGCCATTTCACCTTTTCTTATAAATAGGCTAAATTTCATTTTTATTTCACCACTCTTACTTTCTTCAGTATACCAAGTCCAGTTACATTTGTTTTATCTTTCCTCAGTTTTTCACCTTGATTTTTCCTTGACCCACTCTGTAGAAAACTTATCTATTTTCCATTTCTTATTCTCACATTATTTAGATAGCTACCTTCATTGTTTCTTTTACTTGGGTTATGGGGTCATATCTTGCACCCATTTTAGCAAGTTTCTTATGCTCATTCCATAGCAAAATACTTAAGATCATGTCCTTTCACATTACTATAAAAAACTTTGTTGCTTAAATCAGCTGTGGTTTTCAGCACTGTAACAAGCCCCAAAAGGTTTCAATCAGGAAATCTGGGATCTGAGAGCACGGTAGGCACTCAAGAAATATGTTTCAGTGGAATAAATGGATTTCCTACAATAAAATAGCCACAAGGGAACTTTAAGTTATGAATTTAGGAGTCAGGTAGAAAAAAATGGGAACTATATGCTTATTTTTTCCTTCAGAATGACTTTGGATGTCAAAACCTAGTGAAACTAAGGCTTACCTGTCTTAAAGATTAAACTTGAGATGTTTAAATTTTGCCTGAAGTCTGTACACATACCTAAGGGTTATATACACTAGTTTCTGTCTTAACATCATCTTTTTAAGCTTCTCTTCCTTTACTATTTCAGCATCTGAGGGAAAGTACAGTTAAACTGGTCACAGAAATCTTTAAGACACTTTCAATTTTTTTCTTGTACCTACTGGTTTCATGTGGCAGTAATGGCATAATAGAAAAGGGTGAAAGGGAAACCTTTACATATTTTAAGGCTTCAAAGCTGGAATGAAATAAAGGCCTGAAAATAGCTTTTTCTTTAATCCCAGGATTACTCTCTAGTGTGAAATCTCTACTTGATGGGCACTTTCCCAAGTTACATTCATAAGGCCTCTATACTTGAAATACCTTGAAAATTGAAGAGTTAGTTTTCTGAATAAGTGGACCCTCGAGTTACGACTGACCTGACATACAAACAACTTGGGTTATGACTGGAATTTAGTTTTAACTTACAACCAAAGTCTTGAGTTACAACCCAAACGCCAGCCACTTGTGCTTCTAGATGGTCTCAGATACAGATTTAACTTTTAAGGAGTTCTGGAAGAAACATTACATCCTTTCCTGTGTGGGGTTGAGAAACCCTGGGCCAATGCCTAAGGACATTGAGATCTGCCTGGAAGAAAGTGTGGCCTAAAATTATACAGGAGAGACACTCTGAAGGTTGTGTAGAGGAGCCTGAGCCTTCAATTGACAAATATGTTACAAGCAGTTTTCATGAATGAATTGAGTTCATAAGTCAAGGGTCCACTGTATCTTTTCATAGGGTTTCTTTCTAGAATGAGTTAAACTGATATCAAATAAAGGTTAAGAAGTCAATGAAGTTTCCTTTTTTACATTTCACATTAAGTTTTAACGAGTACATCCATATTATGAAGTCTGATACTTCTGCTGAGTGATATCTAATATATATTGCACATCTTCGGATTTCTTTTGAATGTTTTAACACACAGAGCATACAAAATAAAATTTAAGTGATCAAATTGAAAAACCTAAATGAAGTCTCCAATATCCATTAATTACGATGCTTGACACCTGTATGAACTCGCTGATGCTGAATAAGGTTTGTACTCTGGGTGAAGGTTTTACCACATATTCGACATGCATAGGGTTTCTCTCCTGTGTGAATTCTCTGGTGTTGAATAAGGCATGTTCTCTGGCTAAAATCTTTGTCACATTCATTACATTTATAGGGCCTCTCACCAGTATGAGTTCTCTGATGTTGATTAAGTGATGAGGAATAAATAAAAGCTTTCCCACATTCATTACATTTATAGGGTTTCTCTCCAGTATGAATCCTTTGATGCTGAGTAAGATTTGCACCCTGTCTATATGCCTTCCCACATATATTGCATTTAAAGGGTTTTTCTCCATTATGAATCCTCTGGTGTTGTGTCAGGTGCACACTCTGGCTGAATGCTTTCCCACACACATTGCATTTATATGGTTTCTCTCCAGTATGTGTTCTATGATGCTGAGTAAGGTTTGCACTCTGGCTGAAAGCTTTCCCACATATATTACATATATAGGATTTCTCTCCAGTGTGAGTAGTCTGATGTTGAATAAGAGTTGAAGAATGAGCAAAGGCCTTTCCACACTCATTACATTTATAACACTTCTCTCCAGAATGAATTCTCTGATGTCGAATAAGGTAAGTGCTCTGACTAAACACTTTCCAACACTCATTGCATTTATATGGTTTCTTTCCAGTATGTATTTTTTGATGCTGAAGAAGATGTGTACTCTGACTAAAAGTTTTCCCGCATTCATTGCATATATAAGGTTTTTCTCCAGTATGAACTCTCTGATGATTGATCAGTGATGAACTATGGCTGAAGGTTTTACCACATTCCAAGCATTTATATGGTTTCTCTCCAGTATGGGTCCTTTGATGTATAGTAAGGTGTGCACGCTGACTAAAGTCTTTTCCACAATCATTACACTTATAGGGTTTCTCTCCAGTATGAATTCTCTGATGTATAGTTAGGTGTGCACGCTGGCTGAAGGCTTTACCACATTGGTGGCATTCATATGGTTTTTCTCCAGTATGCATTCTCTGATGTGCAATGAGGGATGAAATATGCCTAAACTCTTTCCCACATTCTTCACATTCATAAGATTTCTCTTTGGCATGGCTACTTTGGTGTTTCAGGAGGGATGGGTATTTCCTAAATTTTTTCCCACACACATTACATTTATAAGGCTTATCTCCAGGAAGTATTTTCCTATATACAGTACCGTATGTGAAATTATTGAAGACTGGCTTGTCTTCATTATACGTAAAAGTTTTATTATCTGATTGGGTATCAAACTGTCCAGTTAGGTTTAAATGCTTTTCAAAATCATTTTTATATATGTCATATTTACTAAGATATTCTTCTGTAGGGTCATCTTCTTGTGAAAGGACTGACTTCAAACTGAAATCTCTTTCATTTGTGGGAATTTTCGTGAAGGTATCTGTTGCTTGCCACTCTAATCCATCATCATAGTCATATAGTTCTTCTAACTTGATGGTTTGTGTTCCATCCTGTTTGAGTTTAGGAATATTGTCTACTGGAATACAAGTTTGGGCTTCAGTTTTGCATTCTGAAATAAAAAAAGAATATAAAAGTCTTCATCTAGAGAAAAAAATAAAATAGTAAATATGATGAAATGCTTAACTATAGCTCTGACAACCTCATTAATTAACTTGATACTTGAAGCTTAGGGAAGGAGAATAAGAGGGCAGAAAAACAGGAGACTACACAGTTGAGAACAGTCTCTTTTTAGTATGGGTATAGAGTAAAGAAAATAGTTAAGGTCAGGTGACAGTACTAAGAGAAGTAAAAACAGCAGATAAGACTATATGGAATAATTTGGGATTATTTCAGAGTAATTTATACAATGGTCTCAAAGTAGAGACACTGACTCTTATCACTCCTTCTAATCTATCCTTCACAATTCTATATAACATTCCTAAAGCATTCTCATGGAAGGCTTTCAGTGCTAAAGGATCTATAATAAATCTCCAATAGCCTAAAATAATGGTTCTCAAAGTACAGTTCCCAGACTAGCAGCATAAACATCACTATCACCTGAAAATATTTAATATTTTTGGGTCCAATCTAGCCATACTGAGTTAGAAATTTTGGCAGCAGGATTGAGCAATTTATCAAGTGGCTTTGCTGCACACTAAAGTTTGAGACCTGGTGACTTAAAGGATAAAAGTTAAACAGAAAAAGAGGGCTAGAGATGTAGTTCAGTGGGGCAGCATTTGCCTAGCACGTGCCAAGTCCTCTGGTTGATGCCGAGCACTACAAAAGTAAGAGTGAGAAAAAAATTTCAGATATCTTCACTTGGCATTAGTCTCAAAAGAATCTAGCCTTTTAAAACTGTATCTTCTACATTACATATTCAGCTTAAAGTGTGAAGTTATCCATTACTTTCAGAGAGTTAATAGCTGCCATGCTAATTCTAGACTCTAGGCCTCTTCTGATACCTTTTCCATTTATTAAAAGATATTTATAGCCTATTCACGTTTACCTGTATAATGTGCTCTCTCTTAGAATCTAAAATACAGGGTAGGTTGAATCATATATGAAATTGTATTTCTTATGGGCAAAATAGCTGAATATCTGCAATCAGCATGGTCCAACCTAACACAATGTTGTGCCTAGCATAGAATTTGGCATTACATGATTATTTCATAATGTGATGTGTTTTTATATTGCAATGTAGATATAAACTCTAGAAATAGCTTATGTTTCTCTTACATTTCCTTCATAAAATGGCTGAAGACTGTATATGGTAGCCACTAAACTGAACTGGTAAAATAATTGACAATAACTTGTTAAAAAGTGAACTCAAATGAAAGTATGAATGCACATGCATGTGTGTACATACACACACACACACAAAATCAAATACAAAAACCAAGAAAAATCCCTGCTGTAAGGCAGTCAGATTGATGCCTATTATGTTATGTTATGATACCTTTGTAATGAGGTGGAAAGCATGTAACCTGTAAATATTTAGAATTATATAATGTATGCACAGCAAAAGAAACCACCAACAGAGTGAAGAGACAACCCACAGAATGGGAAAATACCTGCATCAATTACTCCTCAAAGGACTAACACTTAGAATATACAGAGAACTCAAAAAAAATCAGACTCCTCAAATTTGAAGACCCAATCCAAAAACGGGCATCTGAAATGAATAGACAACTCTCAGACAAAGAAGTACAAACAGCAAACAAATACATGAAAAAATGTTCAACATCAGTGGTCATTTGAGAAATGCAAATTAAAACAATGCTGAGATTTTATTTCACTCAAGAAAAAGTGGCTATCATCAAGAAATCAATCAATAAAAAATGCTGGCAAGGCTGTGGGGAAAAAAGGAACCTTTGGCCACTGTTGCTGGGGAGTGTAAACTGGTACAATCAATATGGAAATCAGTATGGAGATTCCTTAAAAAACTAAAACTAGAGCTATTTCTCTTATTATCTTCCTGAAAGAGTTAAAAGCATCATATCACAGCAATATATGCACACCCATATTTATTAGCAGCACAATTTATAATAGCCAAATCTTGGAAACAGCCTAGGTGCTCATCAATGGATGAATGGATAAAGAAAATGTGTTTTTTATATATGAGTACTACTCTGCTACAAAGAAGGACAAATCTGAGATATTTTTAGGTAAATAGATGCACCTTGAGACTGTACTTTTAAATGAAATAAACTGGACACATATGTTTAAATATTGCATTGTTTCTCTTATGTGAGAAACCAAAAGCATAAATAAGGACCAAAACGGATGATACATGTTGGGAAGCAGGGAGAAAATGTTCAAATGGGAGGGAGAATAAGGGAGGGTGGAGGGGAAAGGGAAGGAAGGGAAAAGAAAAAAAAACAAGAAAAAAATGGAAGCAAAGTTTTTATAAATAAGGAGGGGAAGAAGGATGGAAGGGAGAAGAGAATGGAGAAAAAAGAGGAATCAAACTATATCGTGTACGGGCACAAATTCCCTATGATGAATGTGATCATTATATATATCAAAAGTGTAACAATACAGTTAATTAAAAAGAATTATATAGGGGCTGGGGATTTAGCTCAGTGGTTCCGGCGCCTGCCTTGCAAGCACAAGGTCCTGAGTTCAAAAAAAAAAAAGAATTATAAAATAAAATCAAATGTAGAATTTATAATATAGCCAAAAAGGTAATGGATATGTCCACCAAAGCCTGCTATGTTCAGAGGTAGGGCTTTTGGAAAGCTCATGGGGGTGCTGTATTCAATAGTCAATTTATCCACTGGTGAATTCAGGGTCCTGAGGGTGCTTTTGGGAGGTGGAACCTGGTTGGAAAAGGCAGGTTACTGGGGGCATGACCTGGAAGGGCATATTTTCCACCCCAGCTCCTCTCTTCTCTCTCTGCTTCCTGGTAAATCATGACATGAGCAGCTTTCCTTTGTCAGACCCTTCTATCATACCTTTTCTGCACTGGATGCAATGAGCCATGGACTGAAACTTATAAAACTATGAGCTAAAATAAACTTCTTTTTGTTGTGGCTGCCTGGTATTTTGTCCTAGCTGTGAGGAAACTGACTAAGACAGGATAGTTCGGAAACTTTCTAAAATACAACTCAAAGAATAGTAACTTTATCAATATATCCATTTAATAGGATATTATATAGTCATTGAAAGTGATAGCTGTATTAGCAAGGGACTGGTTAGAGTAGAGGATAACGGGATATTGGTAACTGGTGAAAATAGGTAGGTCTAGGCAAGTTGATTGGAGAAGATGTGTAGGACGTGTTAGTAAGTGAAAGAAAGCAGGTCTATACTGGTAAAAAAATCCCACCTGTGTAACAGGATGCTATATGTTAGACAGACAGACAGACAGACAGACAGACAGACACACACACACACACACACACACACAGACAGGGAGAATGTCTTGGCAATGACTCAGGGGAGGGAGACATATTTGTTTTCTCATACTGCTTGAATTTACACACTACTTTTATTCAAATACATAACTCATAGCTGACACCCAGAAAATGTTTAGGAACAACGCTAAATGAAAAAAGCAGTATCATATCTGGGATGAAGACACATTAGATGAAGTGGAAAAATAATAAGTAGCTTTTTCTTTTTAAATTTTCAATAAATTATATTACTTTTTCTGTTATTCAGTACTAGAACTATAATTATTTTACTTTTATAGAATAAAATTAAAAAGCCTACTTTTTCAAACCAGGATTTGTTACCACACCCCAAAAGAACAAATGAGAACATGACTGGATTGAACACATAGGTGGATATATATGCAGAAAAAGGATAAGTCGTAACAAAAGCTGTTTAATTTTTGTGTAATCAAAATGAGTCTGTGGCAGTCTACATATACCCAACACAATTACGTTTTTGTTTGTTTATTTTGTTTTACAGTGCTGGGGATGAAACCCAGGGCCGTGAGCATGCTAGAAAATTATGCTATCAGGCTGGGGACTGCCACATCTGCCTGGCAAGTGCAAGGTCCTGAGTTTGATCCCTGGTACTGGAAAACAAAAAACCAAAAAAACCAATCCTGTGTCTGCCTGAAAATTATGCTATCACTGAGATTCATACCTAACCCTATAGTTTTAATTAATAAGCTTAAAGCCACAAGTCTGAAGGGTGACTATGAATAAAATGCTACTATAGCAAACACACATTTAAAAAAGTCAGTTATTAGAAATTCAGAAATTGTGATAATTAAGGAGGGCATAAACATGTGTATATAACTAACCAGAATGCTTGCCTAAAAGTGTTAAGTATCTGTTGGTTCGAGGCTTAGTGGAGAAGTATTTGAATCCTGTATAAACATAAAGAACCATAAAAGTTCTAAGCAATGGCCACTGAAAACCAAAACTACTGTTCTATTTATGAATTACTAAAGTTATCATTTTTTGAAGTATAACTGATTAGATAGTCTAACTAAAAGCTCAACTTATATATTTCTGAGCTGGCAAGACAGTAAAGTCCTTACAGGCCAAAAACCAAGTAGAAGTAGACAGGTAGGAAGACAGCTAGAGCTGAAGCTGACTCCCTTGAGATGGTTCCTCAATCTGGGTGCATGCGGCTCAGGAGCCAGAAGATAAAGCCTAGGGTCCAACCGGAGAGCAAGTTGACAGGAATCTCTTGCCTGGAGGATTACACACCATGTTAGGGCAGGCCAGAAAAGCAACATTCTCAAACCTCATCTC